GACTGGGACGTTCCCAACGTACCCTACACAGACTGGGACATTCCCAACACAGACTACGACGTTCCCAACGTTCCCAACACAGACTGGAACGTTCCCAACACAGACTGGGACGTTCCCAACACAGACTGGGACGTTCCCAACGTTCCCAACACAGACTGGGACGTTCCCAACATTCCCAACACAGACTGGGACGTTCCCAATGTTCCCAACACAGACTGGGACGTTCCCAACACAGACTGGGACGTTCCCAACGTTCCCTACACACACTGGAACGTTCCCAACACAGACTGGGACGTTCCCAACACAGACTGGGACGTTCCCAACGTTCCCAACACAGACTGGGACGTTCCCAACATTCCCAACACAGACTGGGACGTTCCCAATGTTCCCAACACAGACTGGGACGTTCCCAACAGACTGGGACGTTCCCAACGTTCCCAACACAGACTGGAACGTTCCCAACACAGACTGGGACGTTCCCAACGTTCCCAACACAGACTGGGACGTTCCCAACACAGACTGGGATGTTCCCAACGTTCCCAACACAGACTGGGATGTTCCCAACGTTCCCAACACAGACTGGGACGTTCCCAACACAGACTGGGATGTTCCCAACGTTCCCAACACAGACTGGGATGTTCCCAACGTTCCCAATACAGACTGGCATGTTCCCAACGTTCCCAACACAGACTGGGATGTTCCCAACGTTCCCAACACAGACTGGGATGTTCCCAACGTTCCCAACACAGACTGGGACGTTCCCAACGTTCCCAACACAGACTGGGACGTTCCCAACACAGACTGGGATGTTCCCAACGTTCCCAATACAGACTGGTATGTTCCCAACGTTCCCAACACAGACTGGGATGTTCCCAACGTTCCCAATACAGACTGGGATGTTCCCAACGTTCCCAACACAGACTGGGATGTTCCCAACGTTCCCAACACAGACTGGGATGTTCCCAACGTTCCCAACACAGACTGGGATGTTCCCAGCATGTGTTCCAGTCTCCAGAACCAATCTGATTGGTCGGTTCAGATTGTGTTGGTGTTCACCATGTCAGCTGGTTCTGGATGTTCTGGTTCTTCTCGCTCCGATGAGTTCTGCCAGATCAGAGGTCAGAGGTCAGATTCTCCTGGGATCTGGAAGTTTCCCTCTTAACATTTTATTCATTAATTTAGAAATGTCACAGTTTCAAACTAAATATTCACATAATAAGCCGAATCACATCACTATATATTTAATTAGCTAAATACTTTAACAAAGAAAAAGAAAATATCCGCAGCTTGTTTAAGCAGTTAGTTTGTTTTTTTATTTACTTAGCTACTTAGCATGCTAAGTAGCTTGCTACTGTGGGCTAATTAGTTTGTTTGCAAACTAAATATTCTGTGAGCAAGCTAATTATTTAGCGCTAAGCTAAGTAGTTACCAATCTAAATGAACCTGCTAGGTGACTTAGCATCACTGAGCTGAAAGTTAGTTACAAGCTGCATATTTAGCTTGTTAGCTTGATTAAAAAAAGTTACTTTTCAAACTAAATGTTTAGTTTGGAACTAAATACTTGAGTAACATTTTGCTGTGAGCATCAGGATGACAGGAACGTTGTGCGTTCCTGTCAGACCTTTTTCAACCAGATGAAAAGCTTTGGACAGAAAAACACCTGCAGTCTGATTTCATGTCAGCTTTTAGAAAACAGTGACAGACTCACAACGAGCGAAGGACGGCGCAGACGGTTGATGCTGTCAGGAGATGAAATCCTGTGGAGGAGGAAAAACGTGACGGTAGAAAAACAAACTCAGTTTTTCTCTCTGGATGTGAAATCGGAGCTTTGGGTCAAACATTTTCTGAAAAGAATCAGAAAGTTTTTCCCGATTAAATTCATCTCTCAGTCGACGTTTTGAAATGAAACTGTTGCTCAGGTGTTTTTACGACCCCTGACCCCTGACCTCCATTCTGTCTGTGAAACTCTGAAAAGCTAAAGGCAAAACGACCGACCAATGAGAAGAGAGCCAGGTGACAAAACAGAAAGTTCAGAACTAAACCAGAAACCCGGTTTCAGAGGGAAAAGCCTGGCAGAGTCCAGTTCTGCCCGGAAACGAACCCGACTGACTGCCGGCCTCCGGACCGGACCGGAGCGGACCGGACCGGAGCAGAGCGGACCGGACCGGACCGGACAGGACCAGAGCGGACCGGACCGGACAGGACCAGAGCGGACCGGACCGGACTCTGACTCCGGTCACATAGGAACCTGACAGGGAGGCTTAAGAGTGTGACCCTCTATAATTGGATCACACACTGGGGGGCGCACTTTGCTTCCCCTAAATAGATTTGCTAGCCTAAATTCTGAAGTGCTAAGCTAAAAGTTAGCTATGCTAATATTAGCTTAG